TGTTCACCTGTTCACTTACCGCCGACCGCTTTACCGTCGTCCGCTGTAATTCTGGGTAGAGCCTTAAAGTTTGAAATACACATTTAGATAGTGATTTTATTGTGAAAATGTTACCAAGGTATGAAGTGTCTCAATGTTCGAATCAGCAAAGCTAGTTTTTGCGAAAAACAGCAATGTATAAATATGTACATATGTATATAAATACATTAAGTTATATTTTGAAGCAGAATGACCACAGTATATTTTTTAAAAGTGGCCTTAATGCTGATCATTTTCTCTGAACAAAGTCAAAGTCGTTGAACATTAAATTAATTTTAAAGAAATGAAGTTTTTTTTCAGAAGAACACATGTTTTTTGGCGAAAAGCTTGCTTGCTAAAGTATGCGTTAAATAAAATGCACCTAGACAAATCTTCTGGATATTTCGAATTTTTCGGCAGGGTTTCTCAAACTAGTGCCAATTGGAAAAAATAAGGGTATCCCTGCAGTGAAACCGCAAGCTATTTAGTCAGGAAAAATTCTAGTTGGATAACCGTTTGATCATTAAATACCAATATTAACACCTTTTTAATGATTAATAATCAATTAAAAGTTGTTAATTAATCCGTAAATTTTGATTACATGATTATTTTGTTATTTTTGATCATTATTAATTATTTTTGACTTTTTTAATTACACGATTAATATGATTATTTGATTAATTTCAATTATCAATCAAGAAGCCAAACTATAGACAAAAATTAAGAATATTTAATAACTGCATGAATTATTTATTTATTCATTTTTATTAAAATTTTAAGCGTTAAGTAATTTCTTTTATAAACATTTAAAAAGAAATGAAAATGAAAACTTTTATTTTTATTTAAATTCACTCGAACTTCTCACTCACTTAGACTGCATCACCAAAAAAAGCTGCGGTTTTTCCGGCGGGATTACCAAACGTAGTATATTTCGGAAAAATATTAAGATTTACGTGAGCTGGACCGGTTTGAAAAGATTTTCTCTAAAAATTGAGTTTTTTTATGACTAAAAATGGTTTCTTAAAGGATTTTTTGGAAAAAAATCCCTCAGATGACAAAACACTTTAAGCTTAAAAAATCTACTTAAAAATATTAAAAAATGGTATCAACGGTATAATAATGAGATTTGCGATGCTGTTTCTTAATTTTTTCATGATTTGTGGAAGAACAACTTAAATAACTGCTCCAAAACTTTACCGATATAGACTTATGATGTATCAGTGGAAGGGTATTTTCTCATCCTTTTTATTTCTTTGCAAAAAACCACATTCACATACCATTTTTTTCTTTATCAAATACCAACACAACTCAACATGGAATGACACTCGTTTATCTTACCTTTCTCTTTCATACTGTAAATGAGCTTATTCGCAAAGAAATTAAAAGGGTGAGAAAATACTTTACCAATGATACCTCATAAGTCTAAATTGGTAAGCTTTTGGCTGAGTTTTTCAAGTTTTTCTTAAACCAGTTTTTGAAAAAAGTTCAAAAACAGCATCACAAATCTCATTATTATGATTCCGTAGAAATTTTTTTTTTTTAATATTCGTATTCAAACTTTTTAAGCTTAAACTGTTTAGTCGTCTGAGTTATTTTTTACAAAAAATATAAAAAAACTGTTATTATTAAAAAAAAAACTCAATTTTTGGAGGTATTTTCAAATCAGCCCAGCTCACGTAAATCTTAATATTTTTGCGAGATATTTTGGTGGAAGTCTTAAAATGTAATCGATTTTATAATTCTAGTGGAAAAACAGTACCATTCTTTTTTTTTGTATGGGGAGTGATGCAGTCTACTGTTCATAAGTTGACTATGATTACTCGGCCGTGCTATCATAGTAGCACAATGCCACTAAGTGCATTTTAAAATTTTCAGGCAATAGCCTCATGCGATTATTGATTATATATTTTGATGTTTGTATAAAATATTTTATTTTTATCATTATTTTTCTTTTAATCAAAATATGTTGAAATAAAAGTGAAAAAAAATAAATATTTTGCCAGAACCCCCACTGTTTGTTTAAGGACAGGAGTAACTTCGTCTTGTCCGCGTTTACCACCAGAGCCATTTGCTTTGCTTCCTTACTTAACTTGAAAAAGGCAGTTTTTGATGCCGAAGTCATCGGCATACGCCAGTAATTGCATGCTCTTATAGTAAATTTTACATGAGCGTTTGAGTTATGCGGCGCTTATTATCTTCTCCAATATCAGATTAATGAAATCACACGAAAACGAGTCATCCTGTCTGTAACTTCGTTTGGCAGCAAACGGCTCGGAGAGGCTCTTCCGAATTCTGACTGAGCTTGTGGTATTGCTCAACGTAATTTTACACATCAGTTTCGCGGGGATGCCAAATTCAGACATTGCGGCGTTTAGGCAACTGCTTTTAGTTATTTTTTTTTCCAAGATTTGGAGTACCGTGAATACCTGATGTATGGTGGATTTGCCAGGTCTAAAGTCACAAGGCCCAATCAGTTCGTTGATGCAGGGCTTCAGTCTTATATACAATTCGCTTGATAACACCTTGTGAACAACGTTATTTAATTTTTCCGAGGTTTCAGACCAAGGGCCATCGTTTGTGTGTATTATTGGTAGGAGTTATTCTTTGCTTGATCTCCAGGATGACAGTATTGTTGGTGCTAATGCTCGAATTAATGAATGGCTTGTTTATCTCCAGGATTTGTTAAACTATCAAAATCGGTTCGATGGTGAGTTTTCCAAATCCGAAGCCACACTGATATGGTTCAATCAGTTGGTTTATGAAGGGCTTCAGTATTTCAAACAGTATCATCGATAAAACCTTATACGCAATGCTAAGAAGGCTTAATCCACGATAATTGGCGCATATAGGGGTATCTCCCTTCTTGTGGATTGGGCAAAGTACACTGAGATTCCAAACTTTGGTCATGTATTCATTAGACCAAATTTTGCTTAACAGCTGTTGCATGCACGCTATTTACCAGTTCTTCGCCAGCAGCTTTGTACAGCTGTATTTTTGCAGAAGATAAAACCGGTCCTAATACCATTAGTTTTCTGCCTTATTCTTGTTTTTTGATAGAATTTTCGGTTCGCATTCCTGTCTGTAATAATTCAAAAGGTTCCTTTTGGTTTATTAAAGATGACACAACGACGAACCGTTTTATTTCCAAACCAAATTTGACAAGGGATGACGGAAATTCGTTCCAAATACTCCAATAAAAATATATACACATTAGGGCGGGTCAATTTCTATGGGAGATTTTTTCGACAATGAGCGTATAGTACAGGAGGACTCTACGTATGATTCTAAGCAAATTTTCCGAAGAAACAATGGGTCTAAAATCAATTTGGAGTTTGTCAAATTGCTAAAATAGGTTTCTTAGCAGTTTGCTGTAGTGTAAAAAGTGCTTAAATTTTGTATAAAAGCATGCTATAATGGGTGTTCTTGTATGAGGAATCCATTCCTGCACTTATCTTTTTCTTAAAACTTTCGCCAGAGGGCGCAGCAGTATTTTCTTCGAAAGCTATTTTCGCAATTTGGCAAACTCTAAATTGATTTAAACCCATGGTTTCTTCGGTAAATTTTCTTAGAATTACTCGTGTAAGCCTCCAATGCTATACGCGCATATAAAAAAAAAAAAATTGGCCCGTCCTAATATGCAGACATATACCTCTTATGCTATAAAGAACTAAATTTATAAGACAATCTCAGGTGGTTCTCGTTGAAGTATACAAACAATATTTTTGTTTATATTGAATATGTTTGTAACCAAGTATGCACATTAGGCCGTACACCCCTGAGTCTAAAGTGTTTTTTCAAAACGATTTAGAAAAAAATTTACCCAACCAAGGGTCGCCTTTTTACATTTTTCTGTGACACCTATCCACATTCGAAAATACAATGTTCTTATGTTTATGTTTATGTTAGTAATTAACTGGAATAATCAATACATCCTTACAAAAGTTTAATGGTTTTCGGCGAGCTTCAATTTACTCCTATTAGGGTGGTACGTTAGGTTGATAAGAACTGAGATCTGTAGTGCGATTCACTAACTTTTAACAATGCGACTTGTCGAGATGTCAGCTAACAATTTTTGTTGTTTGCAGTAACGATTGTGCGATTCATTAACTGTGCTGCGGCTAATGGCCACAAATCCCTTGCATATGCCTAGGCGCTCGTGTGTGCACAAAGTTGACAAGCATTTTATATGGAAGAAAAAGTGCAACACCCTCCACGAAAAAATTCTAAAAAATCNGGTTAAGTACTAGATGGAGATACTTGAGGTCAGTAAACTATGAAACAAAAAAATTGTCTCAAGAACGTCGATATAACAGTAATAATATTTGGCGCTTACACTTTTGCTAGGAATTTGTCTGAGCTTCTCCCCCAATTTGTGGTGTGAGTATTGATAATGCTACACAAATGGAGGGACCTACAGAAGTACGTTTCTAATTTAGATGTTTCTCGGACCAGGGAACGAACCCACTCAGCCACAGCAGCAGCGATACATATGTCATACTGTAAATGCCATGTTCGGCGAAAAAAAAAGAAATCGCAATTGCCTTGCAAAATACTTTAGACTCGGGGGTGTACGGGGAAGTTTTAGATAATTCTGTTGTATTCTAATACAAATACATATTTATTTTCCATACTTTTTAGCAGCAAATTTAAAGAAATGATTTCTCTATTTTCTTTTCACAGTACCCACATGCATCGTGGTGCATCTATGCGAACCCAAATGTCAACTAATTGTCAGACTATAATACCCAATTTTAACGCCTACAAGAACACCCTTTCTGCCAGCTAGCCCATTTCGTATAAACGTTGCAGTTGCCTGCTTTTGAGAAAATATTTTCACTGCTGCTATTTGGTAAGAAAAAAAATCGCTATTTCCTTTTTCACGCGTTTCCCACAACAAAATGAAGAAGCCTTATAAAACATTAACAAAATATACATGTGTATGAGAGCTAAAGCCCCCCATGTGCGTGGGCGTTTGTATGAGTTGTGCGCGAAATTTAATTTCCACATAACGAATTTAGTGCTGTGTCCAAAAGAAAGAAAGTGTTGAGTTGCAGCAGGTAAAAAGGCCAAACGTAAGGCAAAGCGCATTTCGTTCATCGAACGGCGATATCTATTAGTTTTTCACTCATTCGAATTTTTATTTGTTTAGATGAAGTTGCATTAGAAATCACAAATCATCATTTTCGAAATTTGCCAAACAAAAATTACTAAAATTGTGATTTGTGATTTCTAATGGAAAATTTCATTGTTCAACTGAAATCGATTCAGTTTTTCTTTTCAAACATTTTCACGCTTGCTTAGTGAGTTTAAAATCGGACCACTGCAAATTCAAAAAACTCAGCGAACTCAGCGCAGTAAATTTTTAAAGTTGAAGCTGAAGCTAAAGCGAAGTACTAGCGGGATTGAATAAACGTCGGAGTACACAGAGAAGAGGCTGCAGTAAAGCATGGATGTCAACGAATATCGGCGGCGGGGTGAGTAGCTAAACGAACGTTACGTATTATATTTTATATTTGCAACGCCATAAAAGGCTTTGTGTATGTGCATTTGTGAAATTTTGTGACCGTCGACTTTTGGCTAGAAGCAAGACGTCCTTCTTCTTTTCCAACGCAACTGCCTTTGCTAAGTCCACTCTGTGGGTGTTCACACATAAAAATTGAAATTGGAATTGGATTTACTATTTTACTCTGTTGCAATCACATTCAAAGCAGCAAAAAATTGTGTGGACATTTCCATTATCTGCATATAAATTTCAACTTACTTAATTTAATTTGCCAATCCTTTGAAAAAAAAACAAATAAAAATAACAATAACACAGGGATTGTGAGAAAGCCAGTAGAATGAAAAAACGTGCATGCATGGTTGTGCGTATATGGCTATGAGTATATGCAGTGGCGGATCTAGGATTTTTCTAAGGGGGGTTTTGAATTTTTTTTAAATCTTTTATCACCTATTTGATTTAAAGATAATGTTATTGTTCTGTGTGGGCAACAGGGAATCGCTCTTCGAGGACACATCGAGTGGGATGAGGTGAAGAGGTGGTTGGTGTCGTGCGCGGAGTCTCTATACGCCGGGCACTCATTGGGTACATTGGGGTCGAGTCTGGGCAGGTAGCTATTGAGGAGGCTACAGTATCAATACCGTAATTGGGCCAGGGGAACGCGGGTCTCTCTTGGCAAATGAAGCTCCATGTCTGACACAGGAGGTGATTGGGTTCCAATCACGGCATTGATAGGCCGACAGTCGTGGTAGGTGGTGATCGACTCCCTGTGAATGCCGTTGATCGCTCGTCGGCACGTCGTCGCGTCGAGTAGTTGGTCGATGTAAGTCTGAATGCCAAAGATCGTGGTGCACATTAAAATTGTCTACTACCATTCGGTTTTCACCTCTGAGTAGCGCACCTATGTCAGGGTGGTATCCTGCCGGGCAGCAAGTGACAGCGGATATATAGATATACAGCTATGCCCTGACATTCTAGAGTGGTGTCCCTCGGGTCTATGTCTTCTTCGATTAGACGATACTGCACTGTGTTGTATAGGAAACAACAGCCTTTGGTCGCGTAAAACCTGAGTCATACTGGTACGTAGAACCGGCTGTAGCGAGAATATTCATAACTCATCTTCGTAGTCGGTTTATCAAACACAAATCAGTTTTTGAAAATCTTCGACCCGAAAACCCATCCGTAAATCCGCCACTGAGTATGTGTAAGTAGCAATGTGTCAGCTTTGTGTCTCATGCATTATAAAACCATTTAGACTTTCGCATTCCAACGCCTACGATTCGTTTCACTCGCCTATTTATAATCAGATTCTCTAATTTTCTTCTGACATTTCGTGGGTCCTCCATGTCTTTCCACTTTTATCTATCTATCTATCCGCTATTACCATAGTCAGTTTTGCACTTTGCCTTGTTAGTTAGTTTACTTAGATGTATGTATGTTTGTATGTATATGGACATACATACATACTTATTTCTGCAAAAGTTATTCATTTACATTTTGCTTCCTACTCGTAATCTACAACCTTTATTTTGACATATGTACATACATATTTATGTACATATTTACGTAGATACATAGTAAGTTAGCATGTAGAATGCACATATGTATATACATACATACATACAAACAAAATGTTGTGAATCATTGCGATTTTTGAACGAAATGCAAATATGTAACTTTTTTAAATTTGTTGACTAATGAAATAAAATTTTTGCAGTGAAAGTTTTGGTTTTTTGCTGACTGTTTTACTGCAAATATAAGTTCGTGTTGGAGAAATATTTAAAAGGGTTGCGTTGTGACGAAATGCGAATGTCGTTTAAAGCAACTCATGCTATTTAGAATAATGCGTGCTTCACTGCGCTTTAAAAGTATTTTTGTGTTCTTTGACAACCGCATTATAATATTTCCTTTATTTTATCAATTAAATTAATTAAATTTTTTCAAACAGGTAGCAACCCTCCTAAAAAATTTGTTCGACAGTAAACTTTCCTAAGCCTCTTAAGTTTGATACCCATATTGCAATATTTTATTTATCTTATCAAGTAAATTAAATTAAAATTTTCAAATATGTGGCAACCTCCACAAAAATGTTTTCAGCTGTAAGACTTCTTAGTTTTCGAGTGATGCGCGTACAAACGTACGGGCAGACAAAAATTCTAAAAATGGCTGATTTGGCTTCTAACTATTGCTCTAATAATTCAAAATCGGCTGCGTTGCAGAGGTCGGCAAACGATTTTCAAGTTTTACGACTTTTTGTAGTGTTTTCGTTTACAATAGTTTAATAATTTTTCCGCATATTTTTGAAATCGATAGTATTTTTTACCGATTTTGTTTACCCAAGGTATCTCTTAATAAGAGTCCAATACTTCTCGATTGGCAATCAGGTGGATTAGCCTCGATACCAGCCCATAGTTCTCCTTGATTAGTGACTTCTTGCTAAATCACGTTAAAACAAAGCAGAACCTTGGTGATTGCGAATAAATGGCAATATATGCGATTAAAAGCATTTTTCTATATGAGTTGAGTTATCTGTGCCTTGCGTCGCAAATTTTGACCATAAACAGCTTGGCAAATTTACCAATCTTTTGAGTTGAAAATTTCTTATTGATGTTGCCTTTTTTTATGCAGTGTAAACCGCTTGACCGGGTATTTGAGAGAAATTGGCTTTACAGTAACTTTTGTCATCCATTACTAAGCAATCGAATTTTGTGAAAAACTCCTCATGAAGTTTTCGGGTACACTTTTTTGTAGCTGATCAATCGGGTTCTTTATAGACCTTGTGGCATTTTAATTCAAAGTTTTCTTTTATCCGTTGCACGATCTATTTGGAGGTTCCAAACATTTTCACCATGTTTTTTTCATACATTTTTAGCTTGACCTCTTGCGCCAATTTATAGTTAGCGGGAGCTTTTTTCTTCCCGAATCTGTCTTCCGTTGAGTACATAATAATTTTTTATTGTCCGAAATAACGCGCTTTGCAGTATTAACCGTCACGTTTACCTCTTTTGCTAACTTTACCGTACCGTACAAATTTATTTTCCAAGTACGTGGAAAGAAGCAAACTCGGACCGGATGAACTAATACAAATTCTTAAATAAATTCTTATTTTGACAGCTTTTTAGGATAAATATATTTTTCTTATTAAGGCGGATTCATCGTTGCAGTTTAGAACTTTTATTCCATGTGGTTATTGTTGCGTTTTTCTCTCTGGGAGAGCAGCTAAGAAAAGTTCTGAACGCTTTTTAGTTGTGAACTCAAATTTAACTTTAGTACAGAACTACTTCCTTGCGTCAGACAAAACCTTGCCCTTTCTTGGTTACAGAATGGCATCACACAATACCCCCAGTCCCACAAATCAGTTGCAAATTCCAATTTTCGATTCTTATTTTACAGTACTGTAGATAAGCTATAAATTGGCTTTAAGTGAAAATTATTTTATTTTTTTGAATTTTAAATGGAAAATTACAGGAAATAAAAAATCATTTTCCATTTAAATTGCTGATGAAACCGGATGTAAGAGTTTCACAATATTCTTATCCAATACAAATTATTTCACTTACCTCACCATATTTGTATCCTCTTCTTCTCACCTAACCTAGGCAAAGAGATGGTAGACTATATCGCCGACTATTTGGAAAACATTCGTGATCGTCGCGTATTTCCTGATGTCAAGCCGGGTTATATGAAGAGTCTGCTGCCGGAATTCGCGCCAATTGAGGGTGAAAATTGGGATGCCATATTTGCTGATGTGGAGCGGGTCATTATGCCGGGCATCACACATTGGCAAAGTCCATATATGCATGCCTACTTTCCAGCGCTCAATTCGTTTCCTTCACTGCTGGGCGATATGTTGGCAGATGCCATCAATTGCTTGGGTTTTACATGGGCCAGTTCACCCGCCTGTACAGAACTCGAAGTGATTGTCATGAATTGGCTAGGCAAAATGATTGGATTGCCTGATGATTTCTTGCATTTGCACAATAAAAGTCCAGGCGGCGGTGTCATACAGACGACTGCGAGTGAATCTACGCTGGTGTGTCTGTTAGCGGGGCGTACACGTGCCATACAACGCTTCCACGAACGACATCCCGGCTTTCAAGATGCGGAAATCAATGCGCGACTTGTTGCCTATTGCTCCGATCAGGCACACTCGAGCGTCGAGAAGGCAGCGCTTATAGGTGGGTGGAGTATATTTTTAGATTTTTTTTTAATCAGCTTACGCGCTGACCGTATTTACTGTTTGTCTGTGTATGTACTTATGTATGTTTTTTTTCCTTTTACAGGACTGGTGCGTATGCGTTTCATTGAGGCCGATGACAGTTTGGCTATGCGTGGTAAAGCGTTGCGCGAGGCCATCGAGGATGACATTAAGCAAGGGCTTGTGCCGTTTTGGGTAAATCTGTAACTAAAAAGACAACAAATTATTTATATCCTATTAGTTTTAGATAACAAAAAGAGCTTATCAATTAAATAGGTCGTGTTACTTTTCAACTTGTACTAAAAGTTGGCACTGTCCCATATCCTCTATTCTATGGTCAATTAAAAGTGACGCGTCTGTTCTTAACTGATTGCTACCCTTTGTGTTTGGTCCCGCTGGGGCCAATTACTATAAGCATCTACGCGGAGAAGATAGATTTCACCGTTAAGTAACGGCATGCGGCACATGTCAACAGCCATACAAATAGCTTTATATTTTGTTACAATCAAAGCAAAGAGGATTAAATCCTGCAAATGTTACCGCAAAAGTAATCACATTTCTGTGTGCACAAGGCAAACCTAGAAATGAGCGTTGGTGAAAGGGATGTGAAAGAGTAATAAACAATAAGAAAATTAGCAAATGACACACTTATATGAAAAATTGCGCATATTACTTGAAAGTGAAAATGTAGGAAAACAAAAAAATATACGATTTTAGCTTACGGCAGAACTTTAAAGGTTTTGCAGGAATCGTTGGAATTTAAAACTGACAGCCAATCTCACGAAAGCAATTTAAGTGAAAAAGTAAAGTAAGGAAATTGACAGAAAATAAAAAAATCATTTTCAATTTAAATTGCTGGTGAAACCGGCTGTGAAAGTAGTATATTTATTTCGACAACTAAATCCGAGCGAAGGTTGATATTTATCGTTTCGGCGAAAAAAATTCGCCTATTTACCTTTTTTTAACTTAAAATATATTAAGTTTGCAGCAGCTGCAAAAGTTTGTGAAAATACAGAGTAAATTCAATAAGACCACCGAATTTATTTTCTACATAAAACCCAACAAAATTTATATAAATGATTTTTTTTTTTATCGTCACGTTTTTTAGACTATGAAATACAGCATCCGTTAAACGCCGACCACGACTCCTCTGGCAACACAGGGTGCGCGTATTAAATTTTTCCAGAACATTTTGGCATAGTGCTTATGTTTTTGTTCTTCAGCTCTGGAAACGTTTCGGCCATATTGGCATAGACCACATTTTTCACGAGGCCGTAGGTAGAAGTCCAATAGTCCGAATCGCAAGATCTCGGCGGCTATTGGACCTTGATGTTTTTTTTAGATAATGCGCCCTGGGAACTTCGTTTGCAATAGGGCCATTGTTTCATGCGCTGTGTGGCAAGTGACACCGCCCTGTTGAAACCTCATATTGTCCAAGTCCATATCTAATTAAAGCCACGATAACGACTACCGCTCAGAGTTACCGGCTTAATTTTCGAATAAATACGGTCCAATGGCTCTACCAAGGCTAAAATCACACCAACACAAAAGACAACTCGTTCTGAGTGCATAGGCTTTTCTTAAATGACATGCGAGTTTTCAGTATTCCAAAAACGGCCAGTTTTGCTTGTTAACGTATCCGTTTAGGTGAAAATGTATTATGAATTACCATTTTTGTAAAACGTTTGGATAACTTTTACGCGCTGTTCAACTGAGTATCGCTCCATGACTAAGTTTGCCAAAGCCTGTAGTATCAATTGTCTGCAATGAATGTTTACGAAAAATAATTGATATCAAATTTCTGCGTCACCTTTGAATAATCCTGTAAAAGAGTTTGTGCACCGATCAAACACTTTCGTGTACATAAAATAGGAGATTGATGAAATGCACTGCATATCTGCACTGACGACGGACCATGTTTTCATCACCCAATAGATCTCTTACTGAAAGCAAAAACTAAAAACCCACGATATTTGTATATGGACTCGAACTCGAAAAGCTTTTCGCAAACACAAAGCGCAAATTAATGAAGATTTTAAAGCTAATTTAGTTCAAACCACTTTGACGCTATGAATTAGGCCAAAGCTCTTATTTCCACCTGTAAGATCTCTGCAAAGTCTTAAAAGACTAGATTGCCACCTTTAGTCTCATGGCTTGTATGCCAATTAGGTAAGAGTGTTTGTAAATAAGGACATTTATTTTCCGTTTAACCCTCTGCAACTGACGTGACTAAAACTTCGCTATTTTAAACTGAAAATTCTATCAATATTTTTAATTCTTATTACTGAAATAGTGGTATAAATAAACCATATGACGAAAAATAGGCATTTTTAATATGTGTATGTCACACTACCACATCAGTCGCAGAGAGTTAAACCTAAAAGCAACGATGTGCCTTTCCAGCTACATATAGGACGGCCGGATAGTCTTGCACGTTGCATAGTATAAAGGCATGTTTCAGCATTCCTTTCCTATTACACCGGTGTGACCTCTAACAATAAAGCACTTTTTAAAGTAGACCATTGGTAAAGCTTCCAAGTACTTTCATGCCGGAAGAATGGGGGTGGCTGCAATTTTCCTTGCCAATTCGTCATCTTTGTAATTGCCCTCAATATCCTCCGTAATGCAAATATCGCTCCCCTGAGACGACAGAAATAAATAACTCTTTGCTCATCGATCCTTGTTTACTTTTGTATTTATTTTACAACTCATTCTAATGTCAAAAATTTAATCAAATCGAAGATAGACTATACTAGTGGATCCTCCGAATAATTTTGTATGCTGTAAGTCACAAATTGTAAGAAAATACTCGCAGCAAATGGCTGAATGAACCTAACCAATATGGCTATAAATCTAACCAGATTTCTAGAGTGACTAAATGTAGAGACCTTGTGGCGTCTACAATCAAAAATATAAGTAAGGTTATTAGAGCTTGCAGCGAAAAAGTAATGAGTCTTTGGGATGCCTCAGAAAATGAAAACGAAAAACAAGTCTGTGTCCGTTCGTTATTAGGTGCTTCCCACCCACGCAGTTAGCTGTCGAAAATAACCATCTCCGGCAGTATAGAGAAAAACTTATCAGAAGTCTCGAAATTCACCATATTAATTTGCCTGAATAAAGAAGGGAATTGATATACATATTTCATGTAATAAGATAAGACTGCAATCGCAGACGACTTCAGGACTCGTTCGCTTTGTTTACTATATACATAAGTAGTACAGCATAAGAAAATCAAGGATTACCAAAATCTGTAGAAGATACCGACGATACAGTCCATATTGCATTTGTACATCATAATTTTACGGTTCATAGAACTTTCTAAAACATATATTCTTACAGGTTTGCGCCACCTTGGGAACTACAGGTTCATGTTCTTTTGACAATTTAGAAGAGGTGACACAAATTTAAATTTTAAGTCCTTTATTCATAAATTATGCACTCTTTCCTTCACAGATCGGTATAGTGTGTCGTGATTTCAACATCTGGCTGCATGTGGATTCCGCCTATGCTGGCAGCGCTTTCATTTGTCCTGAATTTCGTACTTGGCTAAGAGGCATCGAGCGTGCAGATTCAATCGCTTTCAATCCATCCAAGTGGTTGATGGTACATTTTGATGCGACAGCATTGTGGTGAGTGGCTTTTGAGAGATCAATGAGGGCTCTAAGGTAAAGGTTCTTCATTTTTACCAAGGATTAAGGACAGCACCGCCGTACATCGCACTTTTAATGTGGAGCCGCTCTATTTGCAGCACGAAAATTCGGGTGTCTCCATTGATTATATGCACTGGCAGATACCGCTGAGTAGACGCTTTCGCGCCTTGAAAGTTTTCTTCGTTTTGCGCTCGTTCGGCATCAAAGGCTTACAAAAGCATATACGTGAAGGTGTGCGATTGGCGCAGAAATTTGAAGCGTTGGTGCTGGCCGATCACCGTTTTGAGATACCAGCAAAACGTCACTTGGGTAATTAGTGACTTAAAAACTCAATTCTAGATAAATCATAATTATTGCTTAATTATAATCTTCAAGGCATGGTGGTGTTTCGCATCAAGGGTGAAAATGAAATCACCGAACGTCTTTTGAAGCGCTTAAATCATCGCGGTAATCTTCACTGTATACCGTCATCGTTAAAGGGCAAATATGTTATACGTTTTACGGTAACATCTACTAACACAACTGTCGATGACATAGTAAAGGATTGGAATGAGATAAGACGTGTAGCATCTATGATACTTGATGAGATGAATATTACAATATCGAATAGAAATAAGGTTTACTTGAAAGGTAAGCTAGGAAGATGTAACTTATATGTATATGTACATTAGGTTGCGTCACTCTCCATACAAAAAAAAAAAAAAACATCGCTACCTAGTGTTTTTCCAACCAAGTTATATAATCGATTATATTTTGACACTTTCATTTTAGAAAAATAATATGATTTACGTAAGCTCGACCGATATGAAAATACCTCCAAAAATCGAGTTTTGTTAGAAAATTTTAGTTCTAATTTTCTTTTTTCAAGTCAAGCTTAAAATTTTTGCGTACAAATGTTTAAACATTTTATCAATGGAATCAAGCTAATGAGATTTTTGGAGGTATTTTCAAATCGATCCAGCTAACGTAAATCTTAATATTTTTCGAAATATTTCGGCGCAAGTCCTAAAATATATATAATAAATTTTATAATTCCGCTGGAAAAGCGCTGGCAAGGCACCCTAATGTACGAACATGTCTGGCTATTCATAGAGATTTTACTTATCGCCACCCAAGGGTGAAAAGGTGTCAAGTCCATTTTTTTTTAATTGTTCAGGAGATACGAAAAATCAATGTAGTTTGGTATTACCTGCCATTCTGCATCAAAAACTAAATTTCGGTTGCTTGTTGCTTGTGGTGTAGAAGCGAGCTACATCAGATACATAGCCATTTGCTTTCGAGCAGAGGTCATCAATGCCATTGTCGGACGCCTATATCCCGGCAATCGTTCGCATATGAGATCAAGAAACTACCTGTTGTCTGCGGGGGGCTTCGAAAAGAAAACAGAAGTGAGGAGGTGCGACGCCCTTTTTAATTCTTCTGTGTTTCGATGTTTGATCTCAAAAGGTGTCTGACCATGGCCGACCATTCGGACAATTCTCTGTCCACATTTTGAGTGCCTGTGAGAGAGAGTGGGCCACGATACAGCGTGGACTGCCAAGTCTAACGCTCTTATACCGATTCTCTCACAGTGACGGTTACGGTTAAGGCCACGAGCTATCTCAGAAAATGCCCTATCTCAGAAAACTTTTCCAGAACGCCCAAATTCAGAATTTGATTGAAGAACACCCTGTCTCAGCTGAAAATGTATTGAAAATGTGCTGAGATAGGGCGTTTGTGAACCGAATTTTGAGTTAGGGCGTCCTTGAAAAGTGTTCTAAGAAAGGGCATTTTCCAACTGGCTGATGAGATAGATCGATCTTCCATTCAGGTGTCGCAATAAAAATGAAACAAAAACAGCTAAAACTTTTAATTGTCGCGCCCCTATTTATTTTCCCGCTACGGCACATATTAAATCCATTCTGACCAGTGTACTATATACTTATTTATGTATATTATATTGTTAGCTGTTGACTACATACATACCCATTTTGATTCCATAGATGCTAAAGAGAAAAATGAAGCTTTCGGCTCTAGTCTACTACTATCAAATTCACCACTCTCGCCGAAAATCGTCAACGGTTCATTTGCAGCCATATTCGATGCAGATGAATTTTTGGCCAAAACTTATGCCGGTGTGCGAATTGCTGTAAGTAATCACTATAAGTAATTATTTTTGATCACATTTGCTCTTGTTGTTGCTAATATGTTTGACAATTTACCTTATATTATTAATGATTTTTCACAGCATCAGGAATCACCATCGATGCGGCGACGTGTACGCGGTATTTTAATGTCTGGTAAGAAAGAAATACATACATTGTAAAAAAAAAATAATAAAAATATGTGAAAGTACACGTTAACTTGCCTGACTTATTGACTATTAATTCTTTTTCGACGTTCCCGCATAGGCAAACAATTCTCATTGGACTCTCATATGGATGTGGTTGTGCAGAGCTCTTTCGATTCCGGTACCAATAATTCCAGTACCGAAGCAAATGGCACGGCATCACCAGTTAAGAAAATTAAAAATCCAAATCCTATATGTGAGGATAGTGAAGAGTCCACGGAAGGTATGCAGTCCAGGTAGAGTAGTCCCAACCGCCTTGCAAATGCTAAATGAAGTAGAGTATTCATATTTGTTCTTGCTATTGTTGTTTTAATGAAGCTTCACCTGCAGTGGAAAGTAGAGAAGAGCTCGATTACTAATTGACTAGTTACATATTTTCCAAGTTAAAATCGGTGCAGTTGCGCATAGAGTTATGGTTTGTCTAAAAACTTGCACTTTTTAAAATGTATTTGTTGTACTTTTTTCTTCTTTTTTTTACATTCAATAAGACGGACCATATCCACTAAGTATTTGCGCATTGCACTGATTTTACGTTTACATTACTCACTTAATCTTTTGTTCCACCTTGCACGCATAGATTATCCAACGGCTAGACGCAGCGCAACGCCGCCCGCCTACTCCACGACGAAGATCGCAGCTGAATATCTAAGTCAACATTCCATCACCTCTCCCAGCACACCGCTACCATCGCCACGACACAAAACTACCGCCACGCAAACATCACAAAACCCCTATAAACCGTTGCACGCTACTGTGGATGCAGTTTCCGATGAGATAGCCGACGATTTGTCCTCTGACCGTAGTGCATTGGAAAAATCAAATGCACAGTTAGTTGCTGCGACTTGCAAACTATTCCTCGCCAACACACAACCAACACTCGCGCCAACCTCATCAACTGCGCCAGCTTCGCTGCGTACCACACCATCGCCGCCACCGCCACCGCCAGCATCTGCCGCAGCGCAACCAAATGTGGATAACAACAATTCCACACAACAATTGCAATCCCAAGCGCGTATGTTCATACGCGCGAATACCATGCAGGAAGTCTATCATGGCAAGCGCTACCTGGAGGCGGGTCTAGCTGTGGCACCCTACAACAATTACTTTGCTAACACTATAATAAATGCGGGAACACCAAGCGGTGGCGCCACACCGACCACACCTAGCAGCGCTGATACACCTGACGCTGAGTCGCAATGGACCGCGCTATTTCACAGTTTCGATACTGCACCTGCGGTTTCGGTGCGCAGCGCTAGCGCTATACCAGCGCGTCTTACAAATATGGAGAGCGCTTCAATGCGTTCCACTTCGACGCTACCCAGCATCGATGAAAGCGCATCCGAATGTATGTCCATATCAACCGCGTCAACGCAAGCTGAGACGTGTAGTATGCCAGCACAGCTGTTGTCCAAACGACAAAACGTACCACGATTCTATAGCGCGCCCACTGGTCGAGCGACCGCGATGGCAACGACGACGACGCCGGCGATGCTAGTGGGGTCGGCCGCAGCTACGTTGGCTTCATTTGCCGCGAATGCTGCAACGCTCTCTGAAGACGAAACGGATGCGGATGCGTGGCAGGTGGCGTGTTGTGGCAGCTCGGAAGAATACTCCATCACATCATCGGGTGTACAGTCGCGTTCCTCGTCGTTAGATCTAGGCTGATTTTGGTTGGACGCTTGCTCGGAAGTGAGTGAAGAGAGGGAGTGATAGATAAGAAGTTGATTTAAATTAGGATTGTTAAATATAGCGCATAGTTATAGTGTATACATACATTCTATTATTGTATTTGGTAAAGTTTGCTGTTGACTTTGGACGGAACTTAAGGAAAGATGTATGTAAACATTAGGCAAAAATGGAATGGAATTTTAAGAAAATATATAAAAAATGCTATTTCTTTAATGAAATTTAAAGAATTGTGAATATTTATGTATGTGATCGTATTATTTTTTTGGTATGAATCGAAAATTTGGGACTTGCAAAAAAATAATCTCAATATTTTCGATTCGTACAATTTAGTCCTATCTGGATTTTTATTTTTATAGCTCAATATTCTTTTAACTTTATTTCAATTTTAGTTTACGTAAATGGTATTTAATTCTACTTATTTTAATTAATTTTATTTAGTCTAGTTAAATTTTTCATTTTAATTAATTTAATTTTTTTTATTTTATAAAAATCTATAAGAAGATATTCGTATTTAAAAGGTTACATACATTTGTATTGGAAGGGTGGAAAATCTTCTGCTGTGCTAGCAATAAATAATTTGGAAAATCTACATTAATCGTAGCAAAAAAACGCAAAAAAAAAATACTTCAATGTTAAACTAATTCAATTTCTGTTTATGTCTATACAAATAAATATTACGCTGAAAACGTATAATTCTTGAATAAAGAGTATATCTAAATATATAACTTTGAAAAATATTTCAATCCAATTCCGGTAAAGGACTCGATGGCATTAACACTTAACGAAGAATATCTTATAACAAGTGTTAATGCTAAATATATACTTAAATAATCACTATATTATACTCTATATACATACATACATATTTATTAATTGTTGTATGAAAATACATACTAAAATATTCAGCAATATTCCCCATATATTATACACATATGTAATCTATATAAAATATATCTTATCCCCCTAAAAGTGAATAACATTTATGAATATTACTGGCATATAAAATTTTTTTTTTCTAGAAATCTAATGCAACGAACATCTTTGCGAAATGAACACTGATTATTAGTTAAGAATCTTATGAATCTAAATACATAATAAACATATATACATAGTTGTAAGCAACAAAAACATGTTCACTACTGCATACAAATAAAAATATTCATAAATCCATAAGTAAAGTTATAAAAACATATAATTATAAATAGTCTGCATGCTGCATAGATATGTATGTATCCACGTTTACCAAAGAACTAAACTACATACATGTACAAATATGTAAAAAAAATGCTAAAAAAAACTAGAAAAAAGCAAAAACAAACAAAAAAACAATGCCATTTTAGGCGTATAAAATCGTATAAAAGATTTTTTAGCTGTAAAAAAATAGTTTGAGTAAATACACAGCAGAAAGATATTAAAAAAAAAAAATGAAAGCGACTTGTTAAATAGTAAAAATTTCAAAACCAAAATGTTACATGATTTAAAAATTTCAAAATGAACAAGCCACACTTTTCTGAATGTACTAATATTATAATCAAAGTCCAAATACATATTTTCAAAAAACTGAAATTGTGCTTTTAAATGTAATTGTGTATATGCTCTACCAAAACGCCAAAAAGAATGTAATTTGAAAATTTCATGAAATAAAAGAAGAATCTCTATACAAATACTTAGTATGTCTAAATTTGAAAATAAATGTAAAACTAAATCAAAAATAAATGTTCTGGTGTTATCTAACACTGTTTGATTGAAAATACTTTAATACTCATTATTATATACTTATGTATATTTATACACCGACTATATACATATACAGCAAACATATAGCAAGTACAAATTACATTACAATTTATATAGCAAAACAGCGACGATTTACATATGCGCATAGTTTTCAAAAAAAAAAAAACTAGCGCAGCCATTATTCGCTTGCTAATACTGGATAAGTCTCTCCGCCGCCGTAGTCAGCCGATCGCTCAGATTCGGTTTCATTTCCACAGCTGCTTTGAAGAAATTATAATTTTTATTAAATGCTAGATGAATGTGGTTTACATACATATATGCAAAATACGTACCATGAATCGCCTCTCAGACTTAGTCCCGTGCCACCTGCTAAAGCACATATTTTGGCGATCAAGTAGAAAGACATGATCAGCAAGAGCACCATATCGTGGTAGATAATGAGTGCGGCCAGCAAATAATCATTGATCCGCATTTCAGCATATCGATAGCCATTTATAGTTTGTGCGTGGTACATGAGGAACTGAAATGATATAAAGGCAAGGATATGGCAGTATACGATTAAGGTATTATAGCACCACTCTAGCGGTCGGAAAGAATGCCTAAATTTTATCTATAGTGTTTTACGGGAGTATGAAACAAGAAACCGGAAGTCTGTTTAGCGAATTTATTAAGTAGGAATAAGGTATGAAAGGTTTACGCAGACGATTTAACGATGAGCTGTATGTCGTTATTACAAGCCGGGGATCCCATGATTTAGATATTCATTACTTTTCAACAACTTAAATAGAAAAAAGTGCTTCCATATTGTTTGAGAAGTTCTCTTACCTAAATGGGTTTGAAACCTACTTTTTTATTTAAAGTGGCGTTTTTATTTTTCCTCTCTGACGCCAGGATTTATTTAAAGGACTTTGTAATTTCAAAGATATGAATTATTTCAAAAATTATTTTAAAAAATTCAATGCAATGTAGAATAAAAATATGGGTACCAAATGAAAGAGGAGAGTTCTTTAGAATTAAAAAAAAATTATTTTCTGAATTCACAAGGACGAATAGGTCATTTTTTAAGCTGATAAAGTTAGAAGCATGATAAAAGCATAGTAAGGTAAAACCGTTCTCTCAATGCGTCGGCCATGATTTTTTTTGAAGTTTGCCAACATTTTAAAATCCTATAAAATTGAGAAAAAAGGAATTGTTTAAAGTTGTTATTTGAGATTGAAAATGAGAATGTGTGTGTGAGTTTGTGTGTAAAATTTTAAAATTAAATTGCTTGCAAACGTCAAGAATTTGAAAAATTCTTCTCGGCGGTTCTACCTTCCTATTTTTTTATCATGGTTAGAAGGATGAAACTCGAGCATGTTATCGAGTTTATATAAGTCCTTAATATATAATTTTTTCAAAAACAAATATTGCGAAATTTCAAGGATAAAATTTTAAAAGGAAATATTTAATACTTAACATTCCTAGTGGGCACATATCTCGAACGATATAAGACTTGGAACAAAAAATCAAAAAGTAGGTAATTTGCACTTTCTAAAAAAAATCGAATTTTTACAAAAAGAAATCCGCCTTAAATTATATCTCGAAATAATATATGTATGTATGACAATTTTTGTGAAGCTTCTATTAAAATTTCAAAACGATCTGTGCTATAGTCTGGATTTGAAAACAATGGTTTCGGAAAAAATCGCATTTACGAGCACTGAAATCATTACCCAGGTGGTGCGGCAAATAAATATATCTAAACTACAAAATAAATCGAACGCCGAAACCGAAGCATAACCCAAATGTTCAAAGCTGCCACCGAACCCGACCTATTTGAGTTGGCTACATATTAAAATTGTTTTCAGGTTATAGAATCATTAAGGATGGGAAAGCCATAGGTACTTAATTGAAACTTTTCTGGAGCAATTATAATATAGAAAGGCTTTTAAGTAGTTCCACATGAGCATCCTCACTCCCTCACTCTCAACTTGTATAGTTTGGCTGCGTTAATAGAAATCAGCGGATCCACTTAGTCAAATAAAAACTATGCCATCGACGTCAATGATGTATTTCCTATAGATTTATCTTGAGGGCGTTAGTGCAAACAGCCACAGATTCCTCTACCGTTGGCTAAATTTATGCAATAATTCCATGAACGTTAGGCTCATTAATGGCTGTCCACGGGATGCTTTCTTTCTCACTACATTGGTAAAATAGTTCGACAAAGAAATTCACAAATTAGAAGAAATTGGCGACAGACAAACAAACGATTGGAGTGACCAATAAAAAGTTGTGGTGCTCTTGAACTGGGAGTATTTGGTGCTCACTGCGTAGATGAGTCTCAGAGCATAGCATAAGGCATCCCAAGGCAAGCTATCAAAGTAAACACAACAATTCTCGGGATATTTACGGTCAGTATTGTAGTACCATGTAGTATGCATTATTACGATTTGTCCTCCTTCGCCAGCGTTGTGATCATTCTGAGTTCCAACACCTCCAAATACAATCTAAAACTATGCGGTTATCATGTGCCACGATTAATTTTAAAACTTGGGTATTTCAATGACTTTTCCAATCACTAGTTTTAAAGATATTTTCGAGATAGTGAAGACCAATATTGGCCCCTATTGAAAAAAGTGCATATTGAGTCTGCTTTCATAAGCAAAAGGTAATGCAGTGGAACTTATAGATTAATCAACAATATAGGCCTGATTTAGGAGACGTTAGCAGTGCTTGTTCAAAACGTTCAAGTCAGTCTACAAAAAGGGTTACATTTTTGCTATACGATGCAAAGAAATCATAATTTTTTCTTCAAATGTTTTAATCCAGTCAAACTAACTTTTGATATCTCAAACCCTTCAAAAAAATTATAATTTTAAAGGATTTTCATGATAATGAAATAAATGCTTCAATAACCTCTAAAAGTAGTTAATATATATACAGCGTAATTAAGAATATCTTCCTGCCCAAATACTCACCATTAGTACCGTTATTATAATGAATAACGAATATAAGTAAAAGGCTATCTTAACGCCCGACAATAGTTGCAGCATCACCAAGAATACTGATGTAATAAAAAATATAACCGCAGCCACAAACATTATCACCACATCCAAGGTAAAATCGTGCTGAAAATATTTAAAAAAAACCAAGCATTAGAACTAGCAGAAAATTGAAATTTAGAGACTGCGTCAGCTTACATTAATGAATACTCCAATTAATATAAAAACCAGGGCCAAAACTAGTACCACTATTACAGTAACGGCGAAAAGCAAAAGTTCCGGTTCAACTATGGCGCGTGAAAGACCCCATGTCATCATGATAACCTACAATATATAGATTTTTTTCCATTATAGACAATCATAATGTGTTTTTTTTCATATTCGCGCTTACTATTATAATGGCGATAATCCAATTTAATGGCGCTGAAAAGCGTAGATTCTCGAAGAATACAAAAGCTGTAACCATTAACATGCTGATAAGCAGCGCTATTATAGAAATAAAGTAAAAATCAATAATGAAGTCCCGCAGTCCATCACTGTTGGGGGGAGGAGAAAGCAAGAAAAAAAACAAGAAGAATTTTAATTAAAAAACCATAATCACAACAGCCAAATAGTGTCTACTTACACGGCGATCATTATGATCCATTGAATTACTGATATAGCGAAGAAGATGAAGGCCAATGTATAGACAATGCGAGCGAATCTTGAACGGTCCTGCCGATATTGGAATAAACGTGATCTGATGGGATCATCCGCCATTGTGCCACTTGGCGCTCAAAACTCACTTGAAAATTTTGTAATCTCTGGTCTGAAGTTTCCAGAAGTTATGTGTTTTTTTTTTACAAACTTAAGATTTATTTTATAAACTATTTTTTTTCTTTTTTTATTGTATACAAAACAAACTGATAATTTTTCAAAACAATTATGAAGTTTATTGTTCCACAGAAAAAGTGAAATGAGCAAAATTTAGAGCAGGTATTCACAATGGGAAATATACAAACTTGATGGTTTACCTCGACTATATAAATTAATTTCGTACAAATAATATAATAGTAAATGCATTACGGAAAATAATCTAAACTAGGGTTTTCATGTTATGTGCGCGTTGTTTTTACAAGCTTGTATTTAGTTTCACCTGTCCCGGTGTTTAAAAACATATCTTGCAATAAATTTTTACACAACTTCCCCATGAGCCAGAGGCCTGAAACTTCAAACTTAGCTCAAACCACGATGACAATGCAATATGAAGCATCCCGAGCACAAATACCAAAAAAAAATATTTCTCCAACCTTGGAGAAATTCCAACTCATCTCTAACCGAAAGATACGTAAAAAGTGATAGAGAAACGAATTTTTAATTATCAAGTGAAAAACTAATGGCCTTATTCATAAAAAATAAAGTAGGTTTAAAGAGCTTTATAAATTGGCGTTTGCATACATTTTTCAATTTATAAACCTTTCATAAAGCTACTTTATTTTTTATGAATAAGGCCATAAAACTATATAAAAAGGAAAATTACCAACAAAAAGTAAATAATCTTAAAAGAAAATAAATCGCGAAGTGAATCAAGTGGCAGAATTACTATAGAACTGTATACTGTGAAGTGAATTATTGTAATACGGTATTGATTAACTACATAAAACAAACGGAGAAATAAAATAAAAAATTATTTAAATTCATCTATGTACATATGTCATTTCAATCAAAAAGTTATAAGTTATTTTACTATTTCAATTTCAGTATTTCAATGATAGGTATGTTTGAGACCAATTGTAAAATCAAATTGGAGTTCAAGTTGAGAACTAGCATTTTCTCAACTTGAGAAATGGTCCTATTTTCATACAAAGAAAAATACACTTTTTGTTCAGAACGCTCCACTTAAGGTACTATTGAGAAACAATGTTTGAGATTTGAGAAATACCATAGCTCTCCACTTGCCCTCAAGTTGGGCTCAAACTTAAATGTTTGTTGGGATGAATTAATTCACAAGATAGCAGAATTTTTTGAAAACCCCGTATTTATGGTCTGATGAAAATAAACACATCCACAAAAATGGTATCCGGTAGGTGCCGCGGGGCTCGATATATGTTGAAAAACTACGTCTATGGTCGATTTAGTTCATATTTAGAATAAGTATATATTACCTGTGTACATTAAGAAGAAAGTTTCAAAATAAAGTGTGCCGATAGGTGGCGCAGGTACATAAAAGGAGATTGGATGTCCGGTTATAGTTTCAGAACTATGGCTCTTAAGACTGGCCCTACACGTCTTCTGTTGTCGCCTGGGCCAACAGCTCCTGTCAGGATATTACCGTTGGGACTACCCTGCAAAAGTCATCTCATGAATGTCAAAGGTCAGGTTCAGCGATGCGCACACCATGCGCTGAGCCAGGCGGGCATTAATCGAGACTCATCAATCAATAATAGCTTGGTCATCTCCTCACCCCTGGATGCCGTCATTAAAGGCGAACGAAGATCTCGAGTTGCCTTGCGCGACTTACTCTTCAGAAAGAAGTTCTACGCAAAAATACTGTGGATTACGCTCAGTGGAAAATCCCCTCATAAGTTACGGCGAAAATTAGTGAATATACTACGATATTGCTGAAATATGATACAAGGACATGTCATTCAAGATAATAGCAAATTTTTTCCTTTACTAGCAGACACTATTCACCAAACCATAAAAAACTGTTTACAACTCTGTAGGTCCCTGACTTTACGTAACAAGAAGGGATCGCAAAAAAAGTTTGTGATTACTCTCGGAGGTCTAAAAGTTATAGAAACCCCCGATTATTTGGCGTTCTTGGAGGGTGACTATGGAGGAAATTATGACGCCCAAAACCTCCTCTCGAAGTAAGCTTTCAAACTAAGGAGGTGACTACAAACTTTCTTCTTTTGTATGGCAAGCTCAGCCAAATATCCAACAATGCATGTACGACCATCTGTTGCTTTTATTTTTAAAACAAAATAACCGAAAATGGATTTTCTTTTCAAACTCTAAAGACAATCTTATCTATATTTATTATATATACCTTTATATTATTGCATCACTCACCAGGGCATATTTGAATAAAATGCAAAACAGATGAACTTAAAGATACAATGTTGTTGGACTTAAAAACTTAAGATTAACTAACCTAACCGTACCAAAACCGGACTAAGTTGTCAAGTCAAACGGGACTTCAATGAGCGCACCCACCACAAACTAACCTAAAGTATATGGAAAATATTGACTCAGATGTAAATTCGGAAGCTAAACAAAAGCAAGTAATGCCGTTTAATGACATAGGTTGGGGTAGGTAGGTAGGTTAAGCTTGTTGCCTCAAACAGGAGCACACTTTGCCCAAAAGTATTGATTCGACGAACCAAATTACTCAGACGGCATATATCGATTCCCAAGAGTTGATTAGTACTGGGTAAGACGTGCGATCTTAGGTGCTAAGACCGCAATCTTGGAAATGTGGAGATTATTCCATCTCTCCGTCGTACAAGCTGCCAGAAAGAATCTCGAGAGATTTTCAGTCTCACCGCATGAAGTCGAATCGATATAGTTGAGATTTGGCGCGCTGTGGCTCACAGCGAGATCCATGGACCGACTCTTGTCCACCCTCAGTAGCAAATTTGCTGGTTTTCCCCCAGCATTCGCTTAGTTGACGCGCTACCCAACCGCCCAAGATTGGTGTACATATAGCATACAAGAGTACTCCCACTCCTTTTTTTCGGTGCGACTGTCTTGAGGGTGGCTTTCCTGGCACCAATATAAGTAACTAGTAAATACTCAGCAGCGACCGAAAGAGGGATCAGGCATATCCCAAGATTCTGATTGCCGCTTGACTATCAGAGTGGATATTTACCTCCCGCCATCAAAGCATCCACCTATACCTGGTGAACGGTACAGTGATCTGGAAGTCGAAATTTTAGTTTGAAGGAGAGCCCCAAAATACCCCACCTCCGTCAAGCTTCTATCCATCCGTGTAAAAACTCATCGGCGCCACTTTTCACCCATTGCCTCCGATTATTTCATCCCTAGACGAGAGGTTAGTGGAGAAAGAGCTAGCCAGGCAGTTATCCGTGTGGTCAGGAATAAAGGCAGAGAATCCACAATGTCGACTTACGCCATCTTTGTTAGTTATTTTGTTTGGCCGTTGACTTCCATGAAATATGAGATATTGGATTGTCTGAATGACTAAAACTTGAACGCCGTCATCATTTGCGCGCTTTAAGGCCTTAATCTATTTAAGAACCATGGTTGTGTCTATTTAGACTGCACTTTTAATTACAGAATTTGGTTCTTTGTAATTACGCTTACGTTGCATATGCACTCTGAAATTTCCTAACCAATATACTTAGCCACTTACGTATGTATAGATAAATTTGTAAATGTGGCCACCCAAAAAGATCGAATAAAAAACATTAAAAAATCCTATTACAATGAAACCAGCATTGACATCGAATGCCAGCAAAATAAAAAACTATTTGCAGTCGAAATTTCCTTTGTATACTTAACATCGGTTTATGTGTTTCAAAGTGGAATGCCGTTGGCTAAGATAATCGGAACTAAGCCAACCGTAGCAGAAGCTGCTGAAGTGGCATTAAGATTAGCAGAAAGCGGAGAAAGTCCTCGAGATGTACAACCAGAAGGCTCAGCAAAAGTTTTGCAACGACGAATCACAGATGAATCCGACACACAAATTAGGCTACAAATTAAAGAAGTGGAGGATGATACGCCAGAAGGAGTACGCGCTATGCGAAAGGGACATAGCGCTTTCGTAGGGGAGGTGCATGCGCATGCGTTAGGTTACCTACTTTTTGCCATATTACAATGGCAACTACTATATCAGATGTAAGTTTGTTTCAATTCGGCGGTAATGTTGATTTTTTCTTTTCTTTTCACGTATTTTTTGTTGCAGCGAAGGACTTGTTAAATTTGTGAATTCGCACTACTACATCTCGTTGATTCCGTTCACGATAAGCTATGTGATGTTGATGTGCTTGGTATTTTTCTATAATCTACTATCCCAAGGCAGGAGTAAAGTGAGATTTTACGTATATACAGGAATAATGGTAAGTATGAAAGCGTTGACATTTCGTGGCAATTATGATAAGTGATTTGGAAGCAGAGTGCAGAAGACTCCACTGAACTGAAGATCTCAATAGGGAAAGATAATTCGAAAGAAATGTCATCTCAAGGCTCGAGAATAATAATAAAGAAATGAGTTAAAGCCCAGAGGATCAGCCATAATTTCTTTGAATATATTTAACTTTTGAAATTTACGCGGTAATGTCTTCGTGGGCATATCCTTAATTTTTCCCTGATAGTAATATTTTGGCGCTTACACTTTTCCAAGTGTTTGGCCGAGTTTCATCACCTAATATTGTAACACGAAATGAAGAGGCCTGCAATTTATGCCCAGCAAATAGTTTTTATGAGAAGCTTCTTTGAAGGCAGATATATTTAGGTACAACCGGATGTTTGTCATTGCCTGCCGAGGGGCGCCTGCTGTTAGTTGGAAGACTTTTTCTAATTCAGATGTTGCCCGGACCAGGGATCGAACACAGATCCTACGAAGTAATAAAAAAATAAAATTTGTATTAAAAAGCGTATGGATACGAAAATCTATAACGAATTATATTTATATACATACGTAAAGATACCGCTGTGGTGTAGTGGTAAGCAGTGCGCGCTTCCACTCCGCACGACCTGGGTTCAAACCCTGGTCAAACCAACATCGCAAAAAAAATATAGAAAAAGGTTTTTTCTTAACAGCGGTCATCCCTCGGCAGGCAATGGCAAACCCCCCGAGTGTATTTCTGCCATGAAAAACAGTTTCTCATAAAAAATACAATCGCCGTTCGGAGTCGGCGTAAATCTGTAGGTCCCTCCGCTCTGTGTGGCAACATCAAGGCGCACGCCACAAATCGGAGGAGAAGCTCGGCCAAACACTAACATATGTGTAAGCGCCAATCTATTATTATTATTATTATTATTAAAGATACCGCTTATATTCGAACTACAGCTCTTTTAAGCCACTTGACATCAATTTTTCAATATAATTTGCAAATAAATAACTCCCTTCATTGAAGTTGGATTTGATTTTTTAAAAGGTGGCAGCCCTCATCCATGAGTAGATAATGATTATATATATCTCCATTCCAAGTTCCAGTAATCTATCAAAAATATTTCTTGAGAAATGCAGTATGAAAAATTCCATTTGTATGGGAGGTGCCACGCCTCCTTGTCTAATCGAGATTAAATTGCTCCTATATTTTAAGTTGGGCTAAATGACACCAGTGTACAAAATTTTATGATTATCGGTTGAGTTGTTAAAGCGTGAAAGCGTAGCAAACAAATAAACCCACTTTCGGATTTTTTGATATTAGTGAGGATTAGTAAGGATATCTCAATGTTCACCATAAATTTACCTGTTTCACTCGATAGTCAGGTTTACATTTCATTCAGATATATGTAGATGTAATAACGGTTGCTCTAAATAAAAATTATTTTTTTTTATCCCTCTTTCAAAGCTTCAGCTTGCCACTGTCGCCATTGCAATGCCGATATCCACTTCCACTAATATGCATTTGGTATATTCGAGTATAGTTTCATCAATTGTGATAATAAGCAGCATCGTGTTGGCGTGTTGCAGGCAAGTAAGTATATAAATTGTTCATTTAAGGGGTTTACAAGACAGGAAAAAGTTTTAGTTTGATTCACATCTACCACAAACATTTTAACTGCTATTAAATTTGTGACATTATGGAAATGATACTGTTCTAACAACTTGTGAACCCCCGAAATTGAATTACTTGTTACACCGAATAAATTTGGATTATGTGCCACTACGCTTCTAACTGCAAATGTTTAGGACGCTTAAATTTTCAAAGTGGTCCCACTCTTACAAATTTAAACGGCTTTTATATGCTTTATAAAATGACGCTGTTATCATTTTTATTTTTTTTTTACGTAGAATACGTCTTACCTTAAGGTATGGGGGCTATGTTCAAATGTTGTATTTGTAATTTTTAGAGCTTCACAAAAACGCTTATTGCACGAGAACTAATAAAGCGATTTCAAAGAAAAGTGTGGCGTTTCAAAGATAAAATTCCAAACCTGTCGACAGATTCATTTTTGTAAATAACCAATTCGGTTTCTGTCGTAAAAACAACGGTAAACATTGCCTTATTTTGGGGTCAATTTTGAGCCTTTAAAGTGCTCTAGCAACTTATTGTTGGCATATATAACTTTCATTTTCGGGATATAGGTTCTTTGGAGATTTGGAAATATTATCGGGTACAAATTTTATATAAATTTAACAAATATTGAGCATTTTAAGGCAAAAAATTGTTGAAAAAATTTGCAAATTTTTTTCATTACCAAAATGCTCGAAAACCGCTCGAATGATTTTGTTTTTGTTTTCTTTAATCAAAAATTCAAGAGTTTTCCTTTCGTTTGGTATATGGGAAGTATTGGTTGATATCTTCTATATATGTTTATTTTATTCAAATATATGGGCATAAATGATTTTCCATACAAAATCACCTCGTCATCATTTTGCAAACACGTGCATATGTTGGAAGTGTGGGAAGGAGACAAAAAGTATGTATGCGTATGTAATGCGGCTTTTGATCGCAGCGTATGTACATATGTAAATGCATATATACGTACATATGAAAGTTTCAGTTAATGTGGATCTGTTTGGTTTTGTTATCGATATTTTTATCGATTTTGTTATCGATTTTGCTATCGATTTTGTTATCGATATTTTTATAGATTTTGTTGCCGATATTTTAATCGATTTTGCCATCGATATTTTTATCGGTTTTGTTACCGATATTTTCACCGATTTTGTTATCGAAATTTGTATCGATGTTGTTATTGATTTTGCTATCGATATTTTCGGAACTTATCGATATAATGATCGATATTTTTATCGATTTTGTTATCGATTTTGTAATCAATTCTGTTATTGATTTTATTGTTGATGATTTATCGGTTTTGTTATCGATATTTTTCTTGATTGTTTTAACAATTTTGCTATCGATATTGTTATCGCTTTTGTTATCGATATTTTTGTCGCTTTTGTCATCAATATTTTTATCGATTTTTCTATAGATATTGTTATCGCTTTTGTTGTCGGTATTTTTATCGGTTTTTTTACCGATTTTGCTATCGATATTGCCATCGCTTTTGTTATCGATAGTTTTATCGATTTTTTTATCGAATTTATTACCGATTTTGTAATGGATTTTTTGATAGATTTTGTTATCAATTTTGTTATTGACTTTGGAATCGATTTTGTTATCGATTTTGTAATCGATTTTTCGATAGATTTTGTAATCGATTTTTTATCGATTTTGTAATCGATTTAGTTAACGATTTTGTTATCGATATTTTTATCGATTTTGTTATCGATTTTATTATCGCTTTTGTTATCGATATTTTTTTCTTAGTTTGTGCTTTCGTTTTTGACTTGGATATGCTCTTAACCATACGACGTATTCTACGTTTAAATTTAGCGGGTGTATCTCCGATACAGCCTGCAGACCAAGACGAAGGCGCTGGACTGTTCCTTTTTTTTTTTTGTTTAAATCTATTTAATCTGTTATGTATTTGAATATGTCGTTTGGCCTAACAAAATTATTTTTAATGCTATGACTTCCTATGTTCTACTTGCTTTTCTCTTTTTTTCAATTCACAGGATTACATTTTACACAAGCCAGAATTTATATTCATTTGGACTGGTCGATGTTTTGTAATCACCTCAATGGGCATTATAGTCGCTATATCGTTGAAAAGCCCGTATTTCGATATGGTTATGACATTGATAATGATATTCTTTATGTCAATTGTAAGTATTCTTCATTTGATAACGAAAGAATTATTTTCTTCTGATATTTTTTGTTTTGAAAGCCTCATAAAAAAGCTCCCTTGCCCCGTTTCATGACCGAGTGAGCAAAGCACTGGCGTGCCATTCGATAGACCCGAGATCGAATTCTCGGGCAGCGGTTTTTTTTATATATTTCTCATTTAATTTTTTTCTCCGTTTTTAATTTAATAATATTTTAATTTTTGAATTTTATTGTTCAAAAAAATATGTGAAAAAAATTAGGTACTGATTTCATTTTTGTTTTTTTATTCTTGTTTAACTTAATTTTTAGATTTTATTGGTTCAAAAGGGAAATTTTTCTGTAATTTTAATTTAATTTTGAGAAAATTAAATTAAAAATAAAGATACTTTTTATTTCATTTAATTTTTAGGAACTTAATTATTATTTTTTTCTTAATTTATTTTTCTTTTAATTGGAAAATCACACCGTGCGATAATCAATTTTACACACGAAAAAATCAATATATTCACAAAATTGGGGCCAAATATTGTAAAACTGCGTTTTTAGTTTTTCTCTCTGACGTCGGGATGTTTTTTGAAAAACTTTGAAATTTCTAGAATATGACTGAATAAAAAAATTATTCAAAAGATTGGGTGCATTGTACAATAACAATATGGGTATAAATTAAAAGGAAAACATCTGTAGAATAGGAAAACAATTAATTTTTTCGGTGCCCTTGGACGAATAAGTATTGAAAATGTTCTTTTATAATTTTATCCTTAAATATCCTTGGGAATTTCCGATATTTATTTTTGACAAATATATATGTCAAGGACTAATATGTTAACTACTACATCCTCGAATTTCGTCCTTCTAACTTTATTAATTTTACACTTCTCTTTATATGATATTGATAGCTACAAAATTTTTTCAATAATTTTTTTTTTTTAAATGTAAAAAGAAATTTTTGAGTTTAAGAAAGTATAAGTTTTCTGGTATCATTTACAACGACAAACGTTTTTTAAAATCGGTTTGTAATTTTTTTTTTTTATAAAAGATACATACGTTTTGCTTTGCAGTGTTTTTTCTCAAATCTTTATATACGAAGCACCCCAATACGCATATTAGAAGAAAGGTTTGATTGCTTTTACAACGATATAACTTTTTTTTATCGGTTTGTAATTTTTTTGTTTAAAATATTTTTTTTTATAAAAAAAGTATTTTTCCCCTTTAAATGATTTTCTCAAATTTTTAAATACGAAGTATACAAATATGCATATCAGAAGAAAGGGGGGTTTAATCACGTTTACAACCATGCCATCTTTTTTAAAATCAGTTCAAAATTATTTAAAATCTAAGGTTTTTAATTTTTCTAAGTGCCGACCTTTGAGACCTTATAGCACCTGTAATATAAGCTTGCACACAAAAAGTTATATCCCATTTAAATAAGAGCAAAACCCTGACGCCAGACGGAAAAATTAAAAACCCAGTTATACTATATAATAGGCTCCTAGTTTTGTGAATATATTGATTTTTTCGTGTGTTTTAGAAACTTTTGGTTTTTCTCGCACGGTGTTATATTGTTTTAAAAAGAATTTTTTTTTTAACTTTTTATTTTTATGACCCTTTTTTATTTTGTTTTCTTTTTTTATATCTCTTTTAAATTAGTTAATTGCCAAAAGACAGTAAAATTTCCTCGTTTGCACATATTTCAATTAGTCTTGCGAGAGGCAGAAAAGAGCTTTCAAGATAGTTGCCAGAATTGACAATTGTCTTGTGGTGAGTTGAAAGGCAGTTGCCAGAATTGTCCTGCAAATTATTTCTTCTCGGTTTTCATCATATAAATACTAACGTAATCATATTGCGGACTTTAGAGTACTAGAAAGAAAGACCATTGGTGCAGTGTTTGTAGGGCGTTGCAGTGTTTACAGGTGAAAGGCAGAATGAGGGGTACATGCAGGAATTTTCATTGAGCAACCTAATAATTTGACAAGATTAAATGGTAGTGGTTAAGATCTGACGATCTCTCTATTCAGAAATGCATCACGCCAAAGCATCAGTGCCTTTTATTTGTAAAATCTAATTGATGGAAATGTCCAATACGCGCAACCACTGCTAAATGCCGAATTGAAGCTTGGTTGCGCAAATAAGCCACTTCCATTAATTATAGCTTAGAAATAAGAGCCTGATGCTTGAGCTCGATGCATTTCTGAACAGACGGTTACTCAGATATTATAGTGTTGTCAAAGTTAACGAAAAGTTAACCAAAACAAAGAAACTAATTTATTAAAATATCTTCAACAAAAAAGTGCTATATTTTTTTTCTTTTCTATTAACTATAATTTTCAGTACATATTAATATGTGGGAGAGTGCTAAGTCGTGCGGAATTCGTCTGGTTGGACAAATATGGTCCTCATATGTATGGAACGCTATTTTACATGAACTACATGACGCTTTATTCGATGTGCGTATTACTATTTGAGCAAATAGAGCGTGTTACGAATCAGTAATTTTGCAACTACATGAAACGTATACTAAGTATAGAGCTGTATACTAAAATTGCATATTAACTATTCGTGTTTTTATTATTAATATAAGAGTATTAATTTTAAATTTGTACAAAGTTAAGCAAAATCTATTATCTACACAAATAAATAAGTTTTCCAATGTGGTATAGTAATAAAAAGGCGTTTAATGTTTTTAAGAAGTTTGCTTAATTTATTTCAGATGTGTACAGTTTACATTTTTTTAAGTTTGTATACATATGTATTTATGCATGTAAATAGTTTCATTAAATTTCTCATACAAAGTTAGTAAATGTATGTGTGTATAATGTAAATACTTCAAAATCGCAGAAAACCTCATTCTAAAATAGTTGTGTAAATGTACATATGTATGTATATATAGTTATTTAATTTTACAATTTTGTTTTAAAGTTCGCATGCACAAACGTCAAAGTAATGCGTTTCCTGTTTTTCATCTAACAAAGTTTAACACGAAAACACCAACACAATAGCTCGTACATTACAAGGACCTTTAACCATTTTATAAAAAAAAAAAACGAAAAAACGTATAAATCAAACAAATTCTTTTACAAATCAAATTACAATTTCATTCAAATTTCAATTTTATATGTAAGGCATACATTGTATATATGTATTAATTGTAGTTATATGTATTTATGCATGTATATATATTTTTGTATACTGTTTTAAGATATTTTTTTAGTGCTCTGTTTAAAAAATTCGGTTCAATACATATTGATTGTGTTCTGGCATTTTGTGCTTGTAAATCACGATTTCGACGGCGTTCAAACAAAACAATCATGAACCGTAAGGCCACTGCAATCATTTGAGCTTGTTTAAGGTGAAGAAGAACCGTTTTGGACTTCATTGTGCGTGTTTGGGCTGCTGCCGCTGGATGGCAGGAAGGAAACTGTAAATGGTAAAGAAAAAAATTTAATATAAAATAAACAAATGTTCTATGTAGTGATTTAGAAAAATTAATTTTAGGCTAAGGAGTTAGCGTTGATTTACTTACACTTTATAGAAAATGGCTAACGGACGTGGTGTGTCAACGCAAACCTCAACGTTTTCCTACTTAAACAAAATTGACGCATATTTGTTTTTACTAAAATCTATGGAAAATACAAGCACTACACACACACACACACTTATAACGAATATAGTTTTATGCATAGCACTTAAAATGCTGATCAAAAAGGCTTCGAAAATTGGTACCAATTAATTAAAGAGCAAAACTGTAAATAAAAAAGCAAAGAAGTGACAAAAAACGAAATTTGGTCAAGACATGTGTATACTTAAAAAAATATAATTTTTGGCTTTACTCGTAAAGTATAAATTCAACTGACACCATTCGAATAAGAAAGAAATTAAATGCAATACAAAATTTAATTTGAATGAAGAAGTTATAACTGTTAGTAATTCAAACCAAAAGTCTAAAAGCCACCGCAATGTTAATGATATGACAGATAAATATACCGTTCCAACCAATGCAAAAGAAACGTTTTTTAAAACTGCGATTTTTCAAATAATAAGTTAGTTTTTTTCATACATCATACACCCACCCTGTCGGAAACAACAACAACCAAAAAGGAAAAATTAGTTTTTTTCATCTTCTATAAATCTGTAAAGAGCTGTGCACAATTTGTATGGAAAGTATTCTATACAAAAGTTGGTAATGTCACTTAGAGATCCTACATCCCTGCTCTTCTTGGTAAAAGGCGCAGTTAGCAAGCAAATAAGTCCATTAAATGGCTAGAGCACAATCAGTCCTGTAACCTGTGAGACGGTTCCAGTAAATTGTGGACAATTGCCATCGAATTTCGGCGATATATGCAACCAACATAGACCCCAGGAAAAAAGCGCGGAGTTCTGCAAACCTTGGCAGGGACAAAAACATTCGCAACAAACGGCGCACTAACATTCAGGCCAAAGGATCTAGATGTGTCAGCCGGGCAAGTGTAAAGCCTTTCGTTAGCTACGCACAACATTCTAGAGATATAGAACAGCGTAATAGCTTCATCTTTCAAAAGTATGGAAAAGACCTGTACGACCAATCAGCCGCAGCTCCTGAGACTCTTGAAACAATACTTCTACTGCAGTTGATGCAACACCTGCACCTCGCCTATCATCCGAATGGGCTTCGAAAAATTCGTAGCACCACCACCAATTCTGTGGAAAGCAATAGTTGAAGGGGTTAGAATCATAAGGGTCTAAGTGAAATTTTTTGAAAATATAGGTTATACCCATATTTGTATAGTTAAATATAGTGTTTATTAGGAGAAAAAGAGTAAACATTCTTTGAATTAGTTAATTAACCTGCATTCATTTAGGCAAGAATCATTTCAAATGCATTTATCCATAATTTACAGTAAGTAATCAACTTTAACCTTAATTATCTCAAAAAAATGTCAGATCTACTTAGATTCTTTTGATTCTAACCCCTTCAGTAGTGGTCCAAAAAAATAAAGTCGGAGTTTTAATGCCGGCACACCCTAGGATTGATCCATATCGAAAAATATACCCCTATTTTGAAATCAAAAAAATATTTAAGGAGTGCTCAAAGCGTTCAAAGTTTTCCATGTATTTTATATGGAGAAAAAACAATTTTTCGTAGAAATGGCATAAAACTCTTGAAAATCAATATTTTTCGACCGGAAAACTATGGTTCTCTTCAGGAGACTAATATCCAATTGTTTATTTAACCATTTTATATGATTAAAGATTTTTTATTGGTCCCCCCATTGCATTTTCTAAGGGCTTTGGAGGATCTATAAAATATAGTTACCATGAAAAAATTGTTAAAGAAACAATTGAGTATTATTACTAGGAATCTCCTGAAGATAAGTAAAGTTTTCCGATCGAAAAATATTGATTTTCAAGAATTCTACATTATTTCTACGAAAAGATGTTTTTTTCTCCATATAAAATACATGGAAAACTTTGAGCACTTTGAGCACTACCTAAATTATTTTTTATTTCAAGATAAAAAAATATGGGTATATTTTTTTCGGTATATAAAAATCCGACCTTATTTTTTTACATACATTTTTGGACCACTGAAGGGTAAAGTTTTAAACTCTCGAAACAAAACAACAAGGCGGCAGCAAAGCATCAAGCACGGTGTGGCACAAGGCGAGGTAACATTTGACACTTTGTTCAAACTGTATCCCTTAAAAATCACGCAATCACGAAATCAGAGATATTCGGTGTTACTTTCAATAGCCCCTTATCCTTGTTGGCGCACACCACAATAAATAAGCTGAATAAAGGTCCCCAAGTCGTTTGCAAGCAGGTGCTTGGAGAATGGCCGGTAAAGGAAATAAAAAACTGCTGTCTAAATAGTTCCTCGTGGGATGTCAGAGGACGAGTCAACCCAAGTACAACTTGACGGATAAAATAAAACCACACTGTCACGTCATGTAAGGAAACAACTCTGTCACCAGGCATCAATAATTTACATCACTACGTTTTCACCAGCGCTACCAGCAGCGGAAATCGTAGCAATATAACAATAAATATTTCATCGCAAGTATCATTCGCCTACATTCAAAAAAATACTCAATGGCTTTTTGTTTCTTTTATAATCCCTATGGAGTAATTAATAAGCTTGGAAGAGAAAATTAGCTCAACAGAAAATGATCGATTTGAAGCAAAAACGGCTAATAAAGTTTGATATACGGCACAGATTAATTGCTAAGTGGTTATGAGAATAGTTTAGACTGTGGGTTATACGTAAATAAATAACAAAATACTAAAGCATAAGTAGTTGTGATGAGAGTATTAAATATTAAGAGCGATTATCACAGTGCGAGGTAACTCTTGTTCAGCAGTTAACTTGTAACTTACGTAACGTAAAACGAAAGTTAACTAGCGAATGCAGATGGTTATATCTGCACTGTAAAAACGGCCCTGAAACTAAAAAACTAAAAATTTGCGTTACAATGACCAATGAATAGAAAGTGGTTAGGAGTATGTGATGTTTGAAAATTACCTATTTAGCTTTTAAAATCTGTGTTCCAATGGAATAGTAGCTTATGTTGTTGTTGTTGTAGCGGCTACAACAACCCCGCCCAGATCGGTTGGTATCTCAGTCGTTGTCGTCAAGTTCCACTAACGGCAACCCTAGGAAGCGTGCAGCTTCTGCGGGGTTTGCCCATAAGGACAAGGTCGTTAGGGATGTCGGGTTTGCCGGGCATGCGAAGAGATGTTTCGAGTCATGTGGGGTCTCTCCGCATGCCGGACATTCATTAGGCACATCCTCATTCAGCCTACTCAGGTAGGAGTTTAACCTGCTGCAGTAGCCGGAGCGAAGTTGTGCAAGTGTGGTGCGCGTCTCCCGAGGCAGATGAAGCTCCGTCTCGTCTATGTCCGGGGGTGGTGTGCCTAGAACGGCATTCACAGGTCTAGAGTCTACATAACTCGAGACTGAGTCCCTGTGAATGCCGTTCAGGGCCTGTCTGTAAGCTGTCGGGTCCAGAGGTTGCTTAATGAACCTCTGGACTTCGTCCGTCAGTTCATATAGATGCCTCCTGACGTGCCTAGGCGAGGGCTCCTCTGCAAGCAGCTGTCTGCTTGGGTGGCCACTTCTGTGGCTCCCGATCAGGAACTGCTTGCAGAGCATTATATTGTGCTCCTTTACAGGGAGCATTTGCGCCTCGCCGTGCAGGTGGTGTTCAGGCGACATCAGGAGGCATCCTGTCGCTGTCCTGAGTGCGGTGTTCTGTACAGTCTGTAGCTTCGTCCACTGCGTCCTACTAGTCCCTGGCGACCACACTGGCGCTGCGTAGTTTAAAACCGGCCGGCCTATTGCCTTGTATGTTGCCAGCAACGTTTCTTTGTCTTTGCCCCAAGTACTGCCGGCTAGCGACTTGAGGACCTTGTTGCGGCTCTGTACTTTATTGACAATAGCGGTTGAGTGCGCAGAGAAGGAGAGCAGGCTGTCGAATGTTACTCCGAGTATTTTGGGGTTATTCACCGTCGGAATTGGTGTGTCATCGACGTGAATCCCCAGCGGTAGCCTGACCTCCTTCGTCCAGGTTGTGAACAGGGTCGCGGAGGATTTCGTAGGGGAGAGGGCTAGACACTTTGCAGTGAAGAAGCGAGAAAGTTCGGAGAGATAGCCGTTTACTTTCGAACACAGGTCATCAATTCCATTCCCAGTCGCCATGATCGAGCAATCGTCGGCGTAAGAGACAATCGAGACTCCCTCTGGTGGTTGAGGGAGCTTTGAAATGTAAAAGTTAAACAGTAGCGGGGAAAGGACACCACCCTGAGGAACCCCCTGTTTTATTTTTCGCTGCTTACTCGTTTTGTCTCTAAACATTACCGACGAATGTCGACCACTCAGATAATTTGCCGACCACCGTTTGAGCCTCTGTGGGAGAGAGGAGGCCTCTATATCTTCTAGTAGCGTGGAATGGCAGACGGTGTCAAACGCCTTTGACAAGTCCAACGCTACTAGAATCGTTCTCTCACAGGGACGGTTACGGTTAAGGCCACGAGTTATCTGAGTGTTTATGGCGTTAAGTGCTGTTGTTGTACTGTGCACTTTACGGAAACCATGCTGATGCTTCGCTGGGGTCAGGTGGTTTGTGAAGTACGGGAGTAGCAAGGCCTCGAGTGTCTTCGCTACCGGGGAAAGGAGTGTTATCGGACGATACGAATCTCCTTTGTTGGCAGGTTTCCCCGGTTTGAGCAGTGGGACCACTCTCCCCACCTTCCAGATGTCTGGGATGATGAGAGTGGCCATTGACAAGTTGAGGACCTCCGTTAGGTACGCTACCCCCGCAGGACCCAAATTTTTCAGCATCAGCATGCATATTCCGTCGGGACCCATGGCTTTGGAGGCTTTCGCCTTCCCGATGGCCACCTGAACTTCACCGCAAGTGAAAGCAAGGGGGGCACAAGTTGTTGGCAGTTTGTGCAGCCTTCTGGTCACTCGACGCTTGGCTTTGTCCACCGGAGGATGCAGTATGAACTGCCGGCTAAAATAGCTCGCGCATCGCTCCGGGTCCGACGAAGCATGGTCGCCGAAGGAAATTTCGACTCTGTCGTCGTGCTTCGTCGGATTAGACAACGACCTCACGGTTGACCAAAGCTTGCTCACACCAGAGGTGAAGTTGCAAGTCTTCAGATGCTCCTCCCACTTCTTCCGCTTATGTACGTTTACAAGTTGCCGAATCTCCGCGTTGAGATCCCTGATACGGGGATCTCCGGGATCGGCCTGACGAAGGCTATCACGCTCATCGGCTAGAACAGCCGCTTCGGCAGGGAAGTTTGGACGTGGGTCCGATATACATCCTGCCGGTATGAAGCGAGCTGCAGCAGCAGTGATAGCCCTGCGGAACTTACGTTCACCGAGGTGGACGTCGGTTGGTGTGGGGAGCGATGTGAAGGTGTTTTCAGTAAACTCCGCGTAACCTTTCCAGTCAGCTTTAGAAAAGTTGACATAGGTCCGGTGTTTGGCGGAGGCAAAGTCGGTTGGTTTATCAATCGAGATGACTATGGGTAGATGGTCTGATGCTAGAGTCAGCATAGGTCGCCACGTTATGCTGTTTATCAGACCAGCGCTGACTATTGTGATGTCTGGCGAGCTACTGCAGTTACCCATAATCCTGGTGGGTGCGTCGTCGTTCATTGTGCAGAATGTCGAATCGTCTATCTGCTCAGCCAAGTCTGTTCCCCTACGATCGTTTGACAGGCTTGAGTGCCAAAGATCGTGGTGCGCATTAAAGTCACCTACTACCATACGGTTTTCACCTCTGAGGAGCGCACCTATATCAGGGTGATATCCTGCCGGGCAGCAGGTGACAGGGGGTATGTATATATTAAATATTTCGAGCTCGACATCGCCTGACCGGATAGCGATGCCCTGACATTCTAGGGTGGTATCCCTGCGGTCGATGTCTGCTTCGATAAGACGATACTGCACGGTGTGGTGCGTGATGAACGCTAAGCCACCACCATTATCTCGCTCGCGATCTCGACGGTGCACGTTGTACCCGGCACAATTCAACAAAGTTGAATTGCTGTGCAACTTCGTCTCTTGGACCGCAGCTATTAATATACCATGCCGACACATAAAGGCGGTTATCTCCTCAATCTTGCTCTGTAGCCCGTTACAGTTGAATTGGAGGAGCTTCATGTGGTTCGGGAGACGTGTTGTGATGTGGGGTGTGAGTGAGGTGTATGTTCTTGCCGCCGTTGGCTGTGTGTGCTGCTGAGGTGATTGCCTCCCTGTGGTGGTAGTGGGGGGCGTCGCAATTGATGTCAGCGACCGAGCAGCGCAACACGGGCCCTCGAAGTTCCCCGTCCAATCTCGCGTGGTGCGCAGACCTGAACATGCCCTAAAGTGGCACCAGCCAAGGCAGGTGTTGCACTTGACTGATGTCACATTACGGAATATTCTGGTCTGACATACCGTGCAGATTGTAGGGGGAACCAAGAGTTGTTGGCGGCGGCGTGTGGGTGGTGGTGCGGTTGTGTGTGTTATGTGGTCTGTGGTGGCTGTGGTATGTTGTTGTGTTGTGGCGACTGTGTGTGGTTGCTGTGTGAGTGTGTGGGGCTGCACGGGCGGACTATGGGTTGCCGTGGAGGCTGCTCTATTTGAGCAACAGGGGGCCACGTACGACGTGGTCCACTGTCTGTGTGTCCGTAGTCCCGAGCAGACCCTGAGGTGACTCCACCCCTCGCAGGCATTACACTTGACTGAGGTGGAGTTGTGGTGTAAACGTCTTCGGCATACACAGCAGGTGTATATTTCTGGCCCAGGGTTTGACTCGATGCCAGCCCTGAGTAGGAGAATGCGTAGTGAATGTTGCCCTATGGACGGACAACTTCTGAGATATTTCGCCGACCTAAACGGGGTTAGATCGCCGAAACAACAGCCCTTGGTCGGGTGAAACCCGAGTCATTCCGGTACGTAGAACCGGCTGTCGTGGGAATGAGTATGAGCTTATGTCGAAAGGCTTGCTTTAGTATAATGCGGCCATTGCGAATGACTCACTGACACCGAGCCGTCGAAGAACTTTTTGCAAATAACCGTGCAAAAAATAGTTCCGATACTAACAAGTCAATGTTTTTATTAAGTCTCATCAGAAAATTCTTTGTCATTTAAAGAATAAAGGGAATGCCGCATTTTACAAAAGCCAGCTTCCCTACATAAGTTACTATCCCACACGAACACAGAAATATATCTGGCCTTCAAACACATTTCTGAGGTCAACAAATGTGTGTTTAAGGGCAGATAAATTTTAAATTTGACTTGCAAAAAGGCCTATTTATAGTTAAAAATTAAAAACGAAATATGTATGTAAATATAAAATAGTGAAAATACGCAAAGCAGTTATTAGAAACCAAATAATACACATCTTCAACTATTCAAATGATCAAGCTGTTTCAAAAATCTCCTAAGCAAATTGCATCACAGTCCAGATGTTATAAGCCATACTTGAGATGTATGAATTAAAATCCCATACTATACGAACTAAATTATTGTTAATCAATGTATAGAACTAGTAAAACAAAATTGTATGTACTCACCAATTATGATAATTAAGAGCACCACACCGATCACACCCATAATGATCATCATTTTCATATTGGCCCACCACTGCTTGCGTTTCAATTTACCGGCTTGTTGCTCAAACTGTGATGCACCAGCTTCCAATGCATCAGCTCGCTCGCCCAATTCCGATAGTTTCTGATCACGTTCCAAGACTTTCTCTACATTGACTCGCATAATACCGACCACTTCATCGACCTTGGCTTGAGTTTGTTGTAAGCGCTTCTGTGATTGATTGTTATTGCTGGGAGTGGTTGAGTTTGGAGGCGGGGGTAAAACAGGAAAACTATACAATTATATATGGTTAGATTACAAAAAAGAACAGGGTGTCTTATTAAATTGTGGTGAACAGCATGTTATGCAACGTATGACCTACCTACAACACCCTGTATATTAATGCTTTAAAATTTATGTATGCACATACATTTCCATTTATATAAAGAAGAGCAGTGTCGAAATAATTAAGAACACTAGTTGGTAGTGAAATATATTTTTTGTTTAATTTTTACCTACACCATTTTATCATGAATTGCTTCATGCAAGAAATACTTCATGAACATATAATTTTTTTTAGGCATAACTGGCAGACATAAGAACATACTTAAATAGTGTGGGAGCTGTTTTTGCACACTCAACTCAAATTATTTTATGGTTTATGCCGTTCTTCTAGAAAATGAGCACGATGACAGTGGAAAATGTAAATGCGTTAATGTTCGTTATTGATTCGCCACTAGGGTTTGTAAATGAACTTTAGGTAATGCTTAACATTCAACAAACGTATACAATTAATGACCTAACAAGAACGCGATATGGTACTATTTTTCAATCTATGAAATCTATGAACACTACATACCAATCGGCAACTACCCCGCACCCCTTGCACTTATCCAAAATAAACAAAACATGTAAACGTATCAATGTTAATACTATTGTCAGTCTGCTTTTTTAAGGCGATTAAGGTCACGTCTACTGCACAAAAGAAGTCGCAAATGGCCACAACTGTCATTGCTTCTAGACTATCTTTGCACTTTCATGTTACTAATGAAATTTTAATAAAACGTTTTTGTATGTACATACATAGTACGTTCGAAGTTACGAGCATGTATGCATGTCTGCGGCTATAAACCATATAAGTAGTTGTACATATGTAAGTACATACATACATATATGAATAACAGATAACCAAAGACCATTTTAACCATTTTCCGTACAAAAGAACATACGCATTGCTTATTGGCTAAGATGGCGAATATGCGCTAATTGCACCCGAAAGCACCTTATTATCAACTGATAACATACATTCTACACACATATATAGTAGTGCAATGGTTTAGCAAAAATAAAAAAACATTAAACAAAATAAAAACTAAATGTTAATTATGCAAATGAATATAAAATTAAACAAAACCCCAGAATTGTTCATTCTTACTCAGTCGATCCAGATGGTGCGGGTAAATCATTTGGGTTCTCCATATTTTACGAATAATTTAGCTGTTCTTGTGAACTTTGTGCGTCAGTAGCTGGAACAAAGAGAGTAAAAAATATACACTTAATTCATTACTAAGCCATTGTAAATAGGCACCAGGCCTCACAAAAGAAAATTGGTGCTAAAAACTAGTAGCTATCACAAAGCGCCGGATGAATCAGCCCAATAAAATGTTGTTTTTTCTTTTTCCAGCGACTTGTTGCGCTGTTCTTAGCTGCTTTTAGAGCACCAGGTTTTAGCATTAAAAATATTAGAAAAACACAAGACCTATTACTGTATTTCTTTTGCGCGTCACTTTTGTAGCGTAGATTTAATAAAAACGATTTTACCAATTTGTTTAAGCTGAGTATTGAAGCAAAATTAAAAATGATAGTGAAAAAATGAACTTACTGCCCGTCGTCGTTGTATTTTTTTCACCGCCTTGTCATGAATGAATACCGAAATGAATTCTTTTGAGGGTTGCTGTGACGTACCAACCAAATGCGTGCTTGTGGAGATATGGCAATATTTCATTCCCTCATTATGAAAGTTAATAGCTCGAGAATTCAATTAAAATATATATTGTGATAGTTGAAATTTTCTAAACAATAAATTAGTTGAGTTTTAAATAGTAAATGCGAACTAACTCGATTTTATATTGTAATCTCAAAAAAAAGGGCTGAATAAGTACAGCTCTGAATTCAACAGGGCATTACATATGCAAAAAAATATCTGATGAAGAACACCCTGTTGTTAAAGAAACATAGCTCGAATTTGGTATTGATTCTACGGTGTACAATGCGCAAATTATCATTATACGGTGTTTACATGAGGCGATTTTGCAGGCAACTTTTAGTTGAAAGCAGCAATCGCCTGCTGTGAACGGCCTCTCAACTTTTTGCTTCCAATGAAGTTGGAGGCAGCGAACTTTTGATTCAACTAATCGCCTCTAAAGTTGCTTGGTAAATCGCCCCATGTGAACACCGTTTTAGGGCTTTAGTTATTTATATGTTAATATTACTCTAAATTGCATTGTGGCGGTTTTTTTGTTGGTAGATTATTTTAAGTGATGAAATTCTTAAAGGTTTGCTTTTTTGAGCTCATTTTTTAATATTTTATAATTTAGCAAAGCGGGCATACTTACATATACCGGAAATGAATCGAGATATTGTATTCTTTTTTCTAACACACTAGGGCTGTTCAGGATCTTGCGCATATGCTCTTGCATTTTGATATTCGTTGCATTTATAAATTCTCAACCACATGGTGACAGCAACCATAAAATTTGTAAATACATTTCCAACTGCAAATTCAAGATCATTTCCACAACATCCTGAACACACCTACTCGTTAACAAATATAAAGTCAATAGATCACCAGTGAAAAATATCTAGCAGAAACTTGCAGGAGAGTAACGAACGATTATAAATAATTGCATTGGTTTACAACAAAAATGGATGCCACTATCTAATTCCTATATAGAACCGCTCGCTGATTCCGAAAACCTACTTAATTTTTTATTAGCTTAAAACAAAAAGTGGTTCCACTTAATCACGTATATCTTTCGAACCAATTTAACAATCTTAATATGAAATACGGCTAATGAAAGCTAACAAAATTATGGGTGATAGTTTTTGAAAAATTTTTTTGATGAAAATATGAAAAAAAAACTTTAATAGTAGAAAAATTTTAAAAATAACAGGTTCTGTGTTAAATTTTGCATTTGTGCAAAAGCCTGTCTAAAATGAAGAAAATCTAGAGATAAACAAAGAAGTCTGTAAAGAGTGGACAAATGAAAATGCGCAATGATATTTTGGATTAGATATGAGCATAAAAGCGTGCTACTTATGTAGGTGTACATGGCGTATGAGTAACATCATTTCCTGCTCATTTTTCATACACATGCACATTTTCATTTGACCACTCATTACTTCTTTACTTATCCATTGATTTTCTTCATTAGTAACTTGATTTTTTTGTAACAGAACAGGCTTTAACACAAATGCAAAAACTTTACACAGAACCTGTTAATTTATGACTTTTTCTCATGTTAAAGTTTGATTTTTCTTATTAAAAAAAACAACTGGAATGATTAATTAATTTGTCAGTAACTATCAGTCCTATCGGAAAGTGATGTGTAGAGGGTTTATGGAGAATTTCGGTTTGGAAATTGGTTCGTGAGATATACGTGACTAAGTGGAACCACCTTTTGTTTTAAGCTGAATAACGGAAAATTGAAAATATCTCGAAAACGTCTCGGCGGGCGATTTTACATGGAAAATGGAAAGGGGCATTCGTGGAACAAAAACCAAACACAAATTTGTGATCCAGTGTTATCAGCTTGTCGAAAAGTTTCGCAAAGAAAAACCGGTGAAATCCGGTGAAAAGAAAGGGCCAATTTTGAGAAGGGCATATATATATTGACCACTTTGCGCGAAATTATCGTATGTGGGTCTGCCAGAAACCAAATTTTACAGGATACGCTTTTTATTGGAATTTATTTTTTATTTACATATTAATTTTTTAGCACGTACAAAATACTTTTGTATGGCACATACGATAATTTCGCCAACAACAAAAAAAATTGCATTGTAGCATATGATCAAATGTATGTACAGTAGTGGAATTCGCTCTTCTGTGTATTTGTTGCATCTTGGGTAATTGGGTAACTGAATGAGCGTGTGATTTGTTGTTGCTAGTGGTACAATAAATATACTTGCAACAACAATCACACGCTCATCCAGTTACACTTAAGCAAGATACAACAAATACACAGAAGAGCGAATTCCATTAGTATATTCTTGGCGTAACTATAGGGACTTAAATTTCGAAAGAAAAAGTTGTAGATACGATATTTTCGCGCAAAGGGCTGATTCAAGCTATGCATGTCCATAACTTTTACACCCCTATTCTGCAACTGTTTCGTATTCGGATTTTGCTACAAATCGTAGAAATAGTATGCTGCAATCCGAATCGTATTTTCGAACTTTCGAAATTCGTAACAATGGCATGCTTAAAAACGAACGAGTAAGCTTTTTTGCGTAATTTTGTACGAAAACAATTCTGTGACGGAGGCGAGATAAAAGATGTATATCGATGTGTGTTTGCAGGAAATATTAGCGTTGTTCATTTAAACAGATAAATTTGCCTTTCGCATATACGTATATTTTTATGCACTGCTTTATATAAACAAGCAAAACCGAATCTTTGTTGCCCCTTATCGTGAAACTTGGGTATAGTTATTTGTACAACGATTTTCGGTTGCTGTGTCCAAACGCATAACCCGAATCCAAAAACTTTAATATACACGTGTAATCAAAGGATTCAAATTTTATTTAAGATAAATGTTTCAAATTTCCTACCACTAGCTTATTAATAAACTCGGTTTGCACTATGCACTTTTTTTTGCAAATTTCGACGTGGGTTCTGCGTAAAAATACTGTGGACGGCGTAGCCGTAGTTATATGCACAAGAAATGTTGTATACCTTTGACATGCGGAAGCCCCTCTTTCACGCAACACAGAAAGGAGAATTCTACTTAGTAAGGGTTATAATCCCTAAGCGCGGTCGAAGGCAGAAGCAAGCGCAACAGGTGGTGGACCACAAAGTGCATGTTTTCAATGGCTTGGAAGAAGCTGTTCCTGCATTAACTGGATTGAGAACCAGAGCTTCAGGCGTAGGAGGAGTTCTGGCTTGTGGTTCAACAATTCAACCAGAAGCTGACATAGATGCGCCCATGGTTACTATGCCCGACAGCTCCGCATACCTTTGTGAATCCATTGCCATAGCGCCCGCTTACTTTGCTGCTATAATTGCAAATACATCAGAATCCATAATTTTCCTCGAAATATGTAAAATTAACCAATGATGAGTGTTTTTTAATTCCATTCCACTTTGTTTTCCTTTATTCAGCAATGCTGCACATGTTTCCGGAAGGATTGCAGCATGTGGATTTTTCGTAGCTACGAATTACGGATTACGAAAATTCGGGTTCTAGAATAAGGGGGTTACTGTAAGAAGTTCGGGTTCGGTTCGGTATCGACCGAACTTCCCCAAAAGAGCCGAGTGTTCGGTTCGGGTTCGGATTCGGCCACAAATTCGAGTTCGGTCGGACACTACATAAGATTTATTGACTGGCGAGAAATAATCCAATTTCAGGTGGCAGATTTATAGTTCTGGCCTTTCTTTAAGTGGATATATTTGTCAAGAAATACCGCCGAGGCACAACAACATCATGAGATGTAATATGTTTTTTTTTTCAGAAAAGGCTCATCAAAATCGAACCACAACTACGAATGCCAATTGAGGCAAGGATGAAGATGGCCATCACCATCCAGCTACACTCCCCAAAAACTCTTTGGGGAATTCGTATGCTGCTACAACAACAACAACAACAACATGGCCATCACCAAAAATTTTTGTTTTCACGTTTGGTGTATGTTGAAGGACTTTATTCACCAATAAATTGAACTTGAATCACATATTTTACTTGTATACAGCACACATGTACATACCTACATAGACACATGTAATTAATTTTTACAGATGTCACCAAAAAATTATATTTGACCTGTAAGTGCTGGCGACCTTCTTTAAGGTCTGATGATTATACGATGGTATCGTAAAAATTCAAGTAAACAAAAACGGTGAGTATCAAAATAAAGTATGTGTGTATGAAGATTTGTAGTGTAGTGTATGTATGTATATATGTAGGTACACATTTATAAGACGCACTTTACACCCACTCGTGGCTTCTATGATCTTTAGTAATTACTAATTTAAATTTTCACTAGCCAACTAAATAAGTAGTGTACAAATTAATTACGCACATGAAAATCCCCACCATGCAAAACATGAGAAATAGGCAACAATCGTCAATGGCAACAAATTGGCGACTCACCGATTTATTGCTGTGGTGACAAATCGGCAACATCACTTCGTTCATGTCAATTTTTAATAAAAAAGTTCTCAAAAATTCCGAAACTTATGAATATGGCGTCAATAGTATTGGCCAAAAGCGTCTAAATTATGCCCAAGGACAAGATTGAAAAAATAGGAAGTCTCACAGCGAGAAAATGAATTAATTCCGATTGTAAGTTGCAATTTGGTATACAAAAAAATAAATGAGGTATTAAAAAGAATAAAATTATTCCAAATATCGCCTGAAGCGATAAGAAAGGGACTCCTTCAGGTAATAAGAAAACGACTCGCCCAGGCGAGTTGCCTTCGGCGGACGTTTTAGAGCGACCGGTAATAGGAAATCGATTCGATGGCAATATTACCGGCAATAAATTTGTTTCCGAGGGCGACACGTTTTCTTATTACCGGCAACACAAATTGTTTGGTGGGTCTTAACAAATATCTAAGTGCATACATGCTTCAACATGTGTATGTGTGTGTTTAATGGCACATACATACTTAGGTGTAAGTTAAGCAACTTTCGGCAGTGTACCGTAAAGTTCATTATG